TTTTTTTCCCTTTCATTTAGTTAATCATCATAAAGTCAGTTTAAACTCTTCATCAGTTTGGATTTGTCTCTGCTGGTCAAAAGAAAAATTGCATCATTTCAATCAAATGAAAACCAAACACTTTTTTCACTCTGAAAATCCTCAAACCACAATTTTTTTTCCCTTTAGTTTTTTAGCTGTTTTCTTTAAATCCAGTTTAGCCTTTACTTCCGGCTGGACTGTTGTGTTTTCTACCTTCAGCAGATGAAAACAGGACCACATGGAAGAAGCCCTTGGTAACAGCAGCTAAACGGGTTCCAACCCGTGGAGGTCAGAACCCAACACAGCCCCAAACTGTGATTAGCTCTGGGTAACCGGTTCCACCCCAGAGAACCCTAACAGCTGGGGGTTCTGCCGCCCTTCTACTGTTACTCTGTCAGAGCCCAGAAGGACACCTGCTGTCTGAGGGGGGGTTTAGGGGGATTCATGTGTTTCTCTGAAGGTTTTCACAGTCACTGCACCTTGGTCATTTCATGCTCTGGAGCTAGAGTGAAGGACAGCCACTAATATTCCCATCAGACACTCAGGATGGTCCTGATGTTGACCAATGACATGAGCAGCTCCTCCAGACCTGTTTTATGGAGAATAAGAACATGTTCTGTTCTACGTTCCCCACAGTCCTCCTAAACTCCAGAGCTGTTCAGTTTATCTGCATGGTCAGACGTGTTTGTGGACAAAAAGCTGAGGTCTCAGGCTGCTTTTAGTGCTGCAGAGTTTATTATTGTCCTCTTCCAGGATGGAACACACAGGGTGTTTTTCTCAGAGTAATCAAAGGCAGTGATTATCCTAAACGGCTGCTTTCATCTGAGCAGAATGAAGGATCCAGTTTGGATCCCTTCAGATGTTAAACAGCCTTCTCTGCGTCTGGCTGTGCACTCTGTGTTGTTTCCAGGCTGGACCGGGACGCTGCACCGTTATGCCCAGAGCACTGATAGGCCGTCTGTCAGCACCTGCTGCCCCCTATTGGAAAGGCTGGAACCTCCTCTAGCAGGTGGAGATGACTGCTCTAAAGCCTTTCTTAAAGTGTAGATGCAAAGTAAAGGAGAAGCAAAGCCCTGCAGAGGGCTGTTTCCAGCTCAAGCTAAATGTCAGACGGCCTCTGGGCTTCAGAACCTGACTGAAAACAGCTGGAATAGATATAGGCCACGTCCATTCTGACCCCAAAACACCACAAAGAGTCACCATAATCAAGCCACACAGGAGCGGTGAGGGTTTTGATCTTGTCAACAGAAACAGTTTGAAGTAGATTTAGATTTAGATTTAGTTTCTGCCAAATTTCAGTGTGAAGGTGGGGAAAAATAAAATAAAACCTAATTTTCTCAGCAGATGGCCGTCAAGACTGAAGACTGAAGGTGATTTGTTTTTATCACAGCTGGTTTTTGCATCTCTGTGTAACTGTCTCTTCAGGCTTTGTGTCTGTAGGTTCTCAGGGAGACGTTATAAAACCACGTCCTCATTTCTAATGTCCCAGACCTCTAGTTTGACTGAGCCTGACCTGAGTGACAAAGACCTGAAGGACTCTGGACTGAAGCAGCTTTCTGCCAGACTGAAGAATCCAGAGAGTAAACCCAGGTCAGAATGAAGTAAACTACATGTTTCAATGTCATGTCTGTGTTCCCATATTTAAAGCATTATGTCCAGCCGGGCTCAAACAGGACTCAGGTTCAGAGATTTGGCAAAAACTAGGACTTTATTTAAACAAGTACAGACTCGCAGGGAGCGGAAGGGCAAGGTGACATTACAAAACAATAATCACTCAGAAAACGAGGATGCAAAAGGCTAATAGAGTACTAAATAATAATATGAGGAAAAACATGGAGGTTCGAGACTAGGACTTCTTGGGCAAGCACAGATTCTTAGGTCAATAGGACAAAACACACGGGCACAAGACAAGTTCTTGACCACCGTTTTTGCCAGCGGTTTATATACCTTTGCCTGATCATTTTTGCCTGCCCGTGTACCGACCATTTTCCGATTAAACGACTGTGATTCTGATTCCCTTGTCTGGAGTCGTGCATTTGGGTTCTGGTGTTACGCCCATGAGAACGAAAACACCAAGCATGGACCCAACCGACTCACCTGTTTCTCAGTCGGCGAACTAAGGATACCTGTTATTAGTCCATGCTAAAAACTGAGCTATTAAAGGAAATCATTCATTGGCTCCTCTCATTAGACCAACCCATCCTTAGCAGGAGTGACCAGTCTCCAAAAATCATCAAACTTTATCCAACCAATATAAAAGAATAAATATAAATAAATATTTAGATTCCAGATTTACGATCAATCCATTGATGCATCAAAACTGTCACGATTGCATCTCCTTGTTAGTATTGTGTTGACTATCCCCGCCTGTCATCAGGGAGACCG